TGTTCTTTTGATTTCAGAGAAAAATCTGTGAGTTCTCTTATGGGAGAAATGTCTCTATGATGATTTCCCTAAAAAACAATTAGATTTAAATATTGGTATAGTATATTCTATGTGATCAAAATGTTTATCTACTTATAAATTATGGGTTTTTTGGCAATTAGGTCACATGTTGGTGTAATTTACTTTTTTCATGTGTGCCTAGGAACGGATAGAGTCATACATGTGGTATTACAGAGGTTGGTATCTACAGTTTCAGAGTAAAATGAAAACAAATTGAATATCACAGGGATCTCAATGATAGGAACTGAACAGTCTGACTAGACACATCACATTAGCGGTCCAGTTCCACAGTTCCTTTATGCAGGAAGACCGTGTGTGGATGTGGATCAGTCGGGTGTTCTACCAACTCAATGTATCATATACTAGACTATCACAGTGTCTACAGCACTAGGAACTGTACTAGTCATACATCTAACCTTACGTCCTTTGTTGTTATTTTTAAGTTTATATGTATTTTTATATTTAATTAGGTATTTTTATCTATGCAATAGCAAGTAGGGTGTCTGTCCACTGGAAGTTATGTTATAATTTATATTCTGTATTATTTTTGGAAATAAAGTATGTTTGATTTGATTTGATTTGATCTGACTAGACACATCACATCAATGATTCAGTTCCACAGTTCCTTTGTACAGCAAGACCGTGTGCGGATGTGGACTAGTCGGATGTTCTACCATCACAATGTAGCTTATACTTGACTATCACAGTGTCTACAACACTAGGAACTATATTAGTCATACACCTGGCTAGACATATCACATTAGTGGCTCAGTTCCACAGTTCCTTTGTACGGCAAGACCGTTTGTGGTTGTGGAGCAGTCGGATGTTCTAACATTACAATGTATCATATGCTAGTCTACAGCACTAGGAACTGTACTAGACATACATCTGACTAGACACATCACATTAGCGGTCCAATTCCACAGTTCCTTTGTACAGGAAGACCGTGTGTGGATGTGGACCAGTCGGATGTTCTACCACTTTCGCTCTTCGGTAACTCTTGCGTCATGCCTTCATTTTCCCCATCCACTTTGATAGCACCTGAGCAATCGCATCGACTCATCATCCACAAGATATATAGCGCAATCTTTATCTTGTACGCAATCGTAACCTATGGTGATTCGATTTGGGATTAGGTCAGACGTTCCAACTGCCTTTTGTTTGGTAATCCCGGAAAGTTGTTGGATTTTATTGTAGCTGTAGGAACGAAATTTCGCGAGAGTGTCTTTTACAATGTAACCACCACGATTACTAGAAAAATACCCGGTATGGATCATAAACATAAACAAAATGACGTTGTTGGCCCGAATCCTATACTAATAGCATTGAACATATGTTTTAGCAGTTCCATTTAACCAATGTAAAATTATGTTTATTTTCGGGCCAAAAACGTCATTTGTTGATGTTTATGATCCATACCGGTATTTTTCTAGTAATCGTGGTAACCACCTATCATGAATTCGCGCAAACAACACAAAAGGTTTATGTAAAAAACCTAAAATGCAGGAGAGTTGAATGCAATAAATATGACACGATTATAATGGTATAATGTAGATTTATGTTCAATTTTTAATTATGATCTCTTAGATGTACTCTAATAAACCCTCAACAATCTTCGTAAATAACCGAAATATTTATCCTTTAGAGATGGAAGTAATTTCTCTTAAATACATTTCTCCCTCTACTAAACCCACGTAAGCTTCAAATCCATTAATTTTAGGTTGGAATTTCCTCTTCCAACAACAAGGAAGTTCCCCTAATACACCAACAACAATTAAATACAAAATATACTCTATGAATCTCATATGCAATTAGTATATTTTCTTGTATAGTTACCAAGTTATCAAACATAGCTAATCGTTAGAAATACTGGTACCGATAAACACAAGAAAAGTTGTCAATTAAGATAGTGACGCCACCCAGATGCGTATTTTTTTAAACCCGCATATGAGATAAGGATGAGTGTAGAATAGAGTGAGATGAACAATGTAGCTTTTGTTACTGACTAGAATCAGCTGTTTCTTAGCCAGGATCATTTCATTTAAAGCCCAATCATGAGGAACAGCTGTTTCAAACCATAAATAAGAGCTACTCGATCAAACTGGTGATCTTTTGATTGTTATGCGAGCACTATAACTACTTAGCAACTCAGCCACACGAATCTAAAACCTCATGAGTTAAAAGAAGAAAGACAGCGCTATAGCAATAGGCACGTTTTCAACACTAAGTAACCGTTAGTTACTAAACTCATGCAAACTTTCAACCTATATTAGACATGTGCTAGCCTATCTCATGTCATATCAACAATGGTAAAGCCTTGGAGTTTTGCTTATCTTGATCGAGTAAGTCCGTGGCCGAGTTTTTAAATTAGACGAAACAAGAGACAGACTCTGGTACAACGGGACAGGACCTTTCACCACACACTTACCTATTCTCCCCACAACCATGTGTTTCATTTAATGTTATAGTTTCAATTCATAACTTTGTTCCCCTTTCAAAGTGAGGCCTTTCTAGGTTAGCAGATTTAAAAAAATGATATTCTTGGGGAAATAAAAAAGTTGGGTTGTTAAGTGTTTGCCTGATAATCTGAGGCGTCTCTGGTTCAATTCGACAAAAAAACAGATAATGTTGCTATGTTGTTTATTCGTATTTAAACAAATATAAACAAATGCGTCCCTGTGGTGATATAGTCCAATCATTGGTTGCATATTAAATGCAATCTATTTTAATGATACTGTGTATTTAATTATAAAGTCGCTTGAAAAAAATAAATGTTTATAGCCTATTCTTAATTATGTTTAAATTAAAGAGGGGCTGATAATTATTAGTCCATAGTCAATCAGTCAATAATTTACGTAGACAACGTGTTTAATTTACGTAGACAACGTGTTTTACAAAAAATATTCAAAATTTAAAAGTTGTACAGTAACGTATGTGAAATGCCTCTTGGACTCGTGTATTTAAACCGCTCATAGCAATAGAAATTTAAAACATTTTAGTCCCTGAATTTTATTTTCAATGCCTGCCTTTAAGAAAATGCACTTTTAGTATTTTACTTTTCCTTGAAAGTACCAATAAATGCAGTCTGTATATCTAAAACTTACATAGCCTACTTAAAAAATGTAAAAATACATAGTTATTTTCTATCCAAGCATAGTAAGGGCCACCCAACCCTTTCTTACACTTAACATGGAAAATTACAGAAACTACATCCTAAAATAATTTATAAAAAATCTTGTCTACTTTGATTTGTCTTTTATTATAACATAATAATTATGCGAAGATTGTTCAAAACGTGGCCAATGTCACTATTAGCCTACTTCACCATGTGTCGGCGTCATATGATGACTTCACCCAAATTATAAAACAATTACAGTACACATGGATTAAACAACAAAACGCCTCTCGTGGGATACGTCAATTCAAACCTAAACCTTGGCATAGAAACTGCCCAGGGATTTTCAGTTTGATATTTTAGATAACTGTTTACTCAACAAAATTATACCTATTATTTTTTGGAAGGTTGTTCAAAATCCGTTTAAGGTCGGGTTCACACTATGGTATATACACGATGAAAATCAGGAAAAAGTTTTGTTATATTACCTTCTTAAATCATACAAAAATATTTTCTATAAAATGCATAGTTAATTAAGTGAAAATCTTGACTTAATTGCAGATGATGGTGCTGCTATAAGGGGAAAATATATATTCCAACACTACTATTATTTAATACATTTTTACAGTTATAATTTTCAAATGAAAATTGTAGATATAAGGAAGAAGGTTGACAAGTAGATTGTAATTTTAGAGTAAAGGGGTCGAAGAAAGAAGGAACAAATTAAACGGAAGAGAGAAAATAATAGATGAAGAGAATATGGTAGTAACGACATCAGAATATTTGCAAAATCCTTCGGGGTTTCACAATAATTAATAAATTTTCAGCATTAATCCAAATTAGGAGTTAAGAGAACAAACAATAATTTTGGTAGTGTTAAAATTAATCTCAAAATCAATTACTCTTTTGACGCTGTTTATTGTTTGAAACCAAAATGTAACAAACGGAATAATAATGACTTGTCAAAATCTTTTCAAGACTTGACCAGAGTTGTTTTATATTTTTTAAAGCAGCCCATGATTAATATGAAGGGAGATTCCTTCTGGCTATAAAATTAATTTAGAAAACAATCTCAACAAAAGATTTAATTAAATATCTTCTCTCGCCTGAAGTGCCGCTCTGGTTAGGGCGTTGCCCTCCTGTGATCACCATGCTAGGAGTACCATAGGTTGGAAATTGTTGAGGTAAGTCGTTAATAGCTCTTAGCCTACACATCGGGAATTTACACTGTGCAGTGGACAAATGGGATCAAATTGTAGCTGTTAAATTCCAATTGCAGTATGTCAGACTAGTATATATTCAGTATAATTGAACTAATACCCGGTTTTGTAATCGATCCATGTCTTAAATGACATTTCATCTATTATATCTAAATGATGTCTAAGGATTACAGTAATGGGTATGATTGGGTTTTCAAACTCGAAACTGGGTATACAATTATTCTATTTAAGTTCTTCGAATAACAGTTTGTTTATGAATCAAACGTAATCGTTGTCTGTATTATTTTATATGAACCTATTAAAAATGGCATTGACAACATATCAAAACATATAAAGTAGAGTCAAAATATTTAATGGATATTTAAACATGTTTTATGTGTTTGACTAAATTACGTAGTGACAATCGTTTTGACCAAACAAGGTACCAAGTAAATACTTCACTGTGTAAAAGTAGAATCATCATCAAGCTCAATAACGAAAGACGTTCCTTTAAAAACTGCAATGTGTAAACCAATGACATAACAAATAATTCTAACTCCAAATTCTCTACGAAAAAATCACAACCTCTTATCAATATAGATATTTTAACTCAATTAAATTCTTACCGATAAAATGGTAGCGCAGCAGGCAAATACAGACTTCATGATGCCAGAATATGGTTTGAACACATAATCCAATTTAGTCACTATTCACTATCACTGTCACTGACGTTTATATATCCACTAGGGCAAAAGTGACGTCATATCTCTAGAAATGACAGCACCATTTCCTGCAAGGATGAATGAATGTTTTCCTGAAGATAGTATCAAGATTAAATAATTTCCCTGATTCATCATGCTATATACTAAACAAATCATTAAAATGATAGCTACGAGAAATATTTGTTATGCTTAATACTACTTTTCATCTGTATTTAGTGTTATTTTAATAATAATTGTTTTATGAGTACATTATTGACCACATGTCTACTGATTTAGTGTTGATTCAAAGTTAAGTTGGAAATTTTGTTCGGTCATGTATTGAAACGTGATACGTTTAGCGCAAATTAAAAAGGAAACATATAAGTGATTAACGTTTAGGATAAATCTTAGTTTTCATCAACACTGATTTATACCAAGTGAACATATAACACTGCATTTATTTTTGAGAACTATACAAGTAATTTGGACTGTGACAGTTTCGTAAAATCAAAGTAAAACTACTTATAGTTAAAGCTCTCAATTAATCAGTCAATCACGTCCAACTCAACCTGATTGCGCACTCCATACGCAGCAAACAATTTGGCAGCGCCTTGTAACGCGCGTCAACCCACTTCACGTTCGGCGCTTTTGTATGATCAAAACACAGCTGTGTATGCCGGTCAGAAGAGGCACGACTCAAGACTTTCACACCTCCCGCACACGATTAGGGGACTGGGGAACCCGGGGAATTGAACCTGTGAACCATAGGCACAAAGGACGTGAAATATTCACAAGTGCAATACCGTATGGATTGAAAAATAAACGGTATCAGCAATCAGACATATACTTTCTCCCATTAGCTTATCAACAACCTTAATCATGGGTAAGCAATGAGAGTAACTATGATATTGAGGGTAACAACAACAATGGGAGTAACAGTAAAATCACAAAAGTTGCAGGAACATTTTAACAGTAGTGTTAACAAAAATAATTTTAAACAAAATAGGTTGTACTATTAACATTAACATAGTACATTAACATACAAATGTCAATCAGAACTGTTTTTTATTTAAATTAATTTTTCCGTTTTTCAGGGGGTTTTTATGGGGAAATTACATAAGTAACAATAACTTTTGAATCGTAATTTTACAGGAATGGGAATTCCACCATTGTTTAAAGGGCTACAAAATACTGAATTTGTATCAAAATCGTTTGGGCCATTTTCGAGAAAGTTCGATTTTCCGTAATTTTTATGGGTTTTATGGGAAATCACTATTGAAAATAAAAATTTCGTAGCCTGATGAACATCAAAGCCCACTAGTGTGTGACAACAAAGTAGACACGTTTAAATGTGAGGTGAAACATTAGGAAATCACACATTGAGGAGCCTAGAACAGGAATAGTGGACAATGGACTGATGAAATTATCATTGGTCACACATGAAAATGTGTGTGGATTACGGAACTAGATCGGATGGTTTTCAGTAAGGAACGGTGGAAACGAACTTCAGACATCGGATCAGAGTAAAAAACCGGAACCACAAATAGGACCAAATTGTAATAAGGAAGTAGTCTTCGAGGTTAGAATGTGAACTCAGATTCTCTGTGGTGGTAATCCAAAAAACGAAGGGAACGAACATCGGATGAGACCTCCATGAAACCACTCGTGGGACTAGAATGCATTATCCGGTACAGGATTCTTCAGTAGATAAGTGTAATCGTACCTGAGGACAGAAGGGACGAATTAGGTCATCAGATCGGAAGAATGGGCCACGAAACCACACATGTATGTGTAATAAGTATGTTTATAGCAGAATGTAACTATCTGAGGATAGAAGTTAACTATGAACATCTGACCAAAGGACCCAGCCCACGAAAGTACATACAGGACAAGAATGTATGTTGAAGTCCTCCCTTGATCAAAGTTTTCAGACCCTATGGAACGAATGAAACGAACTTAGAACATTGGGAGGGATGATCCACGAAACTACAGATGGAACCAGTTTGTTTTAAGGTGTACACAATATCAAGATAATCAGAATCTAAAGAATTATACTAACTGAATGATTTTCAGAACCCCACATAGAACTAGAATTTGGTTGTCATCACTCGATATGGGAAACTAGGAACGAAGGAAACGAACTGATACCGTATCCTCACTTGGAACTAGAACGTTTTACGGAAGTCTTTACCAGATAGGTCATCAGCATCTAACAAATATAAACTGCGGACGTCGGATCAGAGGAATGGGCACCGGAACAGGACCGGGAACTGGAGTATGTTTACCGGAAGTCCACACACCCGATCGGCATTACCCAACCGTGCTTTCTCTGGTAGTTATATTCGGTCTTGGCGAAGAGCAAACGAGGTTATGCCCGATTAGGTTTTAGCACATTCAGCGGAAGTTCTAATAGTTCTGAGGAAGTGGTGGTTTTAGTTGGGCATTAGTTGTGTAAGGTTTTACTGGATGTATATTACACGTTGTAAGGAGTTAAATTACATGTTAACTAATTAAATGAAATTTGAAACTTGAAGTTTGAAATTGAGTATGTTCATTGGGGTTTACTTTATAGTAGTTCACGTAAAGATTGCAAACCTTTAAGAGCTTGAAACCCGTTAACCGTATGAATGGAATTTAAGGTAAACAGTGTGAACGTTTGGATTACAATTCAAAAGAAATAAGTGTTTAAGAACCCTAAAAACTTACGGATTGGTTTGACAGAGAGTATTAATGTATAAGCAATTGTTTTATAGAAGGATGAATAAGTTAAACTGAATTTAAATTACTAGTAAAATAACGAAACACGTAGAGTGGATAGATCTTAATTTATACATTTATTAAAAATAGGGTTAAAAGTGTATAATTTTACATTATTTTATCAACAAGTAGTTTCAATTTGCTAAAAACTGTTTATTATCTCCAAGGAAATTTGTTTAAATAATCTTTGCACGATTTAAGTAACTTTATATTATGTGAAATCGCAAGTTGTGTCCTTTGAAACTCAAAAAATATTTATTTTAAGCTTTTAATAGCCAGTCTAAGTAAACTCAATAGAAAAAAAAAAACAATAATAAACATTCGATTTCTTAGGTTGCAAAAATTTGAATCCATTACAAAGAGGGTTTTTGGATTTAATATCGTTCTTATAATTATTTAAATTAATCATTTTTACTTATAAAGTATTTGTGGTAGTTAAAAAAAAATTCTTTAAAAAAACTTTTTAATCAACAAAAATTCTAAATAGAAAATACAAATAAAAATGAAGCAAAATAAACATAAAAAAAATTGGAAATCCAAGCTATACAAAAAAAATTTTATAAAATACTACAAAATATAAATTTAAAACAATACTTAAAAATAAGCAGCATACTATTTCTAAACAACAAACTATCGAAACAACTCAGAGAAAGGAGGTACCCTAAAGACACCCGCACTCCGCACCTTCAACGCCAGTACTAACACTGCCTCCAGCGGTCAGGGGAGAGAGTGAGAGGAGAGGGAGAGAGTGATGATATCACACTGATTACACTCTTATCACTTGACCTTGAGCCTCCCAGCAGGGGTGGCACGCGTCTGTTATCAGAGATGCACTGCATACGCAGCTGGTTACCTCACAAAATCACACATGCTCACGGTCAAGTGTCCTATGTTTAAAATATAATTAAAAAGCTAGCAGCAAAACCCGGCGTTGTTGGGTCAAAATAAAATTCACAATAATGGTAATAAAATATGTTTTTTTGATTTAGTAATGCGGTATCTTTCTTAACTGGTTCAAACTAACAATATCGTTAATAGCCTTTATATAGAAGTATTTTGACCAAGACATATAAAATAAAAAAAATAAAAATGGACCTACGTATCATCATTGACTGAAGCCTTGATTGCAGATAAGTCATAAAATAATTAATTATTGTTGATTCGTGATTCAGCAGCGTGCTTCAGGTACGTCCGATCTTCATAATCGATAGCTCAAATGGAAGATGGTATTTCACTGAAGGTTCTTGGACCAAAACATATAGGATAATGTAATTAGAACTGGTGAAATGCATCTTCAATTGCAATAAGAATTCGAAAAAGATCAATTTTTTTGATCAAGTAATACTGTACAAATGAATTAATATGCTTAATGGCAAATCTATGTGAGCATGACTTTAATGGAAGACCACAATTATGAAAATCGGTCGTGTAGAAGAGCAAAACGAACTCGGAAAAGAAAACCCAATTTTAACTCCCATAAGGAATGTTCAAGGAGGAAGTTGCTTTTGTCCATAACTCGTCAGATAAATTAATTCCGATGCTTGGCTAGAAGAGCCGTACCGACTTGGAAAATAAAAACTGATATTTTGTCTAATATATAGATAGGTAAATAAATATCGGTGCTGCTGTTATAAAGTTTTGCTAGAGTATCTAGTAGGAGTTATCGATGCGTCTTATGGATTGTGCAGCTAACTATCCTTAATTGACTATAATCCTCGTTTATGAGAATCTATCACTGTATGACCCATTGTCAGGGTTTAGCCTTACAGGCACTTGAATGATCCGGGAGTTATCCTTGCTTGAATTTCCTGGAGTGCTATCACTTTCATAAAAGCTAAATTATAGATTATGCAGTCTGATGCAGTCTTACCCATTTTGGATTTAACATATCTTGATTTTAAAAAGAAACGGCTAAACAACTCTTTCGTTGAGTTAAAGAGTGACAGATCACGAATTTGATATATTTTATTCTGAAATCGTTGTTGAAACTTAAATCAAATTAAATCATGAGGTTATGCAGGTAATGTCTGATATGCAGTTTATAGTAACTGGTTTTATAAAGTTTTACTATGATGTATTTTTTAGTTTTGAAATATTTTATTTATTATGAGAGAGAATTGAGAATTTAAAAGCCCATTTGTCATTTAGTTAGGCACTAACACAGCAATATAAGCATTTTCTATTCATACAATTTTAAATATTCGAACAGACGCCGTCTCTGTAGGAACAACAACCACTACAATTTTTCTTTTTAAGATTTGTGTAGAGGTGTTTTTTAGTCCAGTCATCTACTACAGTAGGGAAGATCAATGTCAATACGATTTATAACTTTTTTTGTAATTTTTTTCGCAAGCAACAAATTTTCAAGATGTATAGTACTCTGTCAGTTTTCTTCAAACAAATCCCAAATAATCATCAAGAAGACGTAATAATTTTACGGATTTTAAACATTGCTGATCTTCACAACTACTCAAGACGATTCAACCAATTTAAAACTGTTTGATGTCAGCTCACAACGGTAGAGCTAATTTAAACTGATCGCTCTATTCATATTATAATAGGCCCATTACTTTGAGACAATAGAAGTCGGATCGAGGAGGTGGACCGGCAATGAACTTAAACTTGGGAGAAAGCACGGTTAAAACAGGTCGTCGATTGGTGCCTATCTTGGAGGGCCGCGAAAAAGTGGTCTTGTACTTCAATGAGTAGTACACAATTGTAAAAACTGGTTGATTAATGCTAGATGTTGTGAAAGTTTAAACATACCTTACTTTAATTGTTCTTCCCCTATATAGTCTACTGCTTGTTTTTGTGTGTTTAGCTCGGTTTAGCTATAGTATACTGTTTTGGGATGATACATTTTGTGCTTAGGGATTTTTAAGAGTTGTTGTTTGGTTTTTAATTAAAAACCAAATGTCTGGGTTTATTGTTAATATGTTGACTTTTAGTTATGGAATAAAAGCATTATTTGAAGGAATTCGTCTACTTTATCTAAAATGTTTTTATGCTTATAAATTATTCAGGGATAAATTTGTTCAAAGTTAGCAGTAAATGAATAAATGTAGATCAGTTTACGAAATGGATGGAAAAGTAAAATTAACACAGTTTAAGCACTTTTCGAAACCAAACATGGCTGCTTTATATAGTTTGACTATTAATAATCGATTCTGGTTAAATAATCAGATTGTCTTAGTTGTTACCAAAACCTTTCCATTTCTCATTCAATTCTCAGCCTCATTTATGTTTGCCTTAGACTACCATAGTTTGTTGACGTCCCGGTCTCAGTATTGTAAAATCTGTAAATAGAGCAATAATTGCGTTTGAGTAATCACTTTAATCACCTTAAAAGACCCTTTTAGAAAAATATTGATAGGATAAAGTTCATAAGACAAAGCATCAGATGCATGGTTAACGCACACAACTTTCCTTGGTCACGGGGTTCACAGTAAGTAAAAAAAATAATTGTAGAATACCAGGTGCCCTAGACAAAAAGACGTAAGCTTTCCCTAGTGAAATATAGATAAATGGTACACGATTTTTAACTCATATTTACTGACTCATTGTTCCATGCGAGTTAACATTTTACCTGATACTATGACCTTTTACGCATCATACGCGAATGAGAAATACATCTTTTGAATAATTACCTAGATGATGATTCTCTGAGAAAACTCACAAATTACTTGAAACAATCGCAAGTACAGGTGAGTACGAGGATACCACGAGGCCACGGGAAGCGACCAATGACAGAAGCCCGGGCGACGTTTCGCTTGCGTTACAATGCAACAGCCGTCATCAGGGATTAGTTATCAAACTATAACTATATACTGATATAGCTGGATATTATGAGCTGTGATCATTGGATTTTTAATGGCTAAAAAACTGAGGGTCTGGATCAGAAACAATGCTACACAAGGAACTTGTGGAACACACTCATATCTTCCATGCATATTTAGGTAAAAATATTCCTTTACATTTTCGTCTGAGATGCTAGAGATATTTTGAATAAGTAACGTTCCACACTCCAAGACTTTACAATTATGTCTCTTGAACTTTAAGATGTTTTTTAATCCCTCATAATCTTAATAAAAAAAATCTGTAGTACGTAGGCCTACTACTATAAGCATTTAATTTCGAACTTTTTGCAGACAACTTATCCTCTATAGTCTTCATATCTATATTTTATATCTAATATAAATTGTGATAGAGAACTTCTTCTATTCAGATTATTACAAGAACTCGCCCAGTAATAAGTGCCAATATTAGTCACCAGTGTTAGTGTGGTACTAAGTCTTAGTACCACGAATACTTGGAAAGAACCGGTATGGGTCATAAAAATAAACAAATGACGTTTTTGGCCCGAAAGTAAAACAAACCATAAGTTAATAATCAATGATATTAGTATAGGGGGTTTGTTTACTTTCGGGCCAAAAACGTAACTTGTTTATGTATATGATCTATACCGGGTCTTTTTCTAGTATTCGTACTTAGTAGGCTACTATGGCTAAAGGAGGATTATTTCATGTTGATCATTTAAACTTTTTTAATGGTCATTAGCATTAGTTTCGCTAATTTACTTATACGACTTTCATAGATTAGGTTAATTTTGGTAATTAGTTTTCGTTGCCTCTTGAAAAATATTTTGGTTTACAATAATTAGCTTAATTCACGATTGTTAATTTCGGCTTTCATGATTTACAATCTTTCTCTTATTGAATATCAATTAAATTTAATACACTCTAGTTTTTTTAGTATTTACACATACAAAAAACTCTTATTGAATATCAATTAAATTTAATACACTATAGTTTTAGTATTTACACATACAAAAAACTCCTAAAGATGTTATACTTTTTATAGTTGCAATTAAAAGTACATAATTTACACACCGAAAACGCAAATTTGTTTGCTTTGCAGTTATGTGTTTGTCTGTACGTGGATAACACATAAACATCGGTGTTAGTCAAAACACGTGATGATTAATTATGTTTTTGTTTGGCTTTTCTTGTTATTGCTAATATATCAAAAATTAATCCGTAGTGTCATTAATTATTATTGAATGGCTTTTGGTAGATGAAGTTCTGAAATACGTAATGTTCTTTTCACATCAAGTTATACTTATATGCTGAACTACAGCTTATAGGTGGTGGACTCAGATCCATTGGATCATGACATTTTCACATAGCTTAAGTTTATTGGCGAATGTCGGGATTCGAACCAGAACCATCAGGTCAGAAGTCCCGAGTTTCAACGATAAAACCTACGTAACGTACCCACACGTAATACAGCAATTTAACATTACTCATCTTTCATGCGCACCAAATACGTCAATGGACACCTTCGGACTTGGGTCACTTGGGTGTTTGTTTTTATTTCCTATGACGTCATCAATACGTTGGCGTTAAATTGCAGTAGAGACAAAGAGTTTACTGAGTATTAATATCATTGAGTATATATACACTATTTGCAATAATCAATGCTAGTATACTATGCATCTTGTATGTATAAAAGTCGTAATTGTCAATACAGTAAGTCGTTATTTTATTGAAACCACTTATATTATTATACATATTCTTCAATATACTTGATATACACCAACTGAGTTTTAAATCTGAAATATACTGTTGTAATATTACTTTGTATTGGATTTGTTATCTTCGGGTTTTAAATTTAAAG